AAAGCTGCAAATATATATATATATATATATATATATCCTTCTTACATAGCATGAATATAAGGAATAGCCAACTTATCCCCATGTAAAAGAAAAGATAAATGGGAAGGAGGAGAGTTTCCTACCACAATGTGTTCAGTGTTCCTCCCCATGAAAGCCAACCAATGTGCATGACCATTACCTTCTCTAGGAGTATGTTTAAATTTCACCTTGCAACTTTTTAAATAATGCTTCATTTTTTTTTCCACCTGAGAATATACCAAGGAGGAGCTTCTTCATTAAGTAGTATTCTGATACAAGTAATGGATTTAGACTCTACAATCAAAAGACCCATCTGGCAATGGTAAGAAAAGGTGATAGCCCAAAAAATTGCTATCATTTTAGTCTCCAATGCATTAGAAGCCCAAGGTGGAGAAGAGAAAAATAGAATGCACTTCCCCTGGGAGTTCCTAAAAACTCTCCCAAAACCTACTGCATCCCTAGTATAGCTGCCATCTGTGTTCACTTTCAACCAACTTGGAGAAGGAGGGGTCCAAAGAATTAAAGAGGGCTTGAAGCTTTGCTAAAGTTTAGTACTTGACATCCAATTCTTAATGAGATTAGGGAAGTGTTAGTATTGAATAATTTTTTGGATATAAGAGGTACAATTGAAAACCACAAACTTGACCAAAGAATGAAGGTCCTCATAGTTAACTTGATTTTTTCTCATCCAAATAAACCATGCAACCAAGCAGGGAATTACCCACAGATTAGCTTCTTTCCAGTCCCACCAGCAAAAGGAAAACTTATCCCAACACACTTTAATAGCATCAATCTTGAGCTGTCTAAGTAGCCCAGACCAGTTCCTTTGAGAAAATTCACAAGTAAAAAAGAGATGGTCTACAGTTGCTTCCTCAGCTTTGCACAGATAGCAACAGGAGGGACCCCTCAGACCTTTCATTTTTAAGATATCATCAGTGTGAAGCAAGGAAAGCCACAACCTCTAGTAGATAAATGACAAAGAATGTGTTAACAACTTACCCCAAATGTCTTTCCCCCAATTCACTGGCTGTCAATGGAAGAACTTTTGATAAATAATGAAAGAAAGTTTCTGTGAAGAAGATTGTTTTGTAATGAGTCTGTCCTTTTGATCAGTATAGAAGGAAGTATTCT